GTTGGTTACTTGGCACAAGAACCAGTACTCTGCGGAGACTACGTTTGTTCTTTGCTTTGGGACTCTCCTGCTATGTTTCTTGATGTGTCACAACCCAGCGGAAAGGTAAAGAGGGAATAGATCAGGTCAGAGTCATTTTTCAGAGTCGTGTGTAGCATGATTAGATCTCTCTGTCTGTGATAGGATATAGTGAAGAGGTTCAGCTATCCAAGTCGATGTTCATAGGTGAAGCCAGCCATTGCAGGGATCATACGAGTGGCTGCCCTCCGAACTCTCTCTAGAAGGTCTGCGTCACCCTTCGGACAAGGATGTGCCGTCTGTGCACAGTTTTCCAATTTAGACCTAACTAAGGATGTGTATAAGATGGTGAACGTGTCACCACTTATTTTCGCAAACTTTCTACGCTATACCCAAAGTGTCCTATCAGTGAGGAAGTCTCTCACATATGCAAGCAGACTGTTGGTTATTCCACAACTTCCCAGTTTCCCAAGTAACCTGGGATGAGGCATCTCGTCGAACGTCTTACTAAAGTCAATGAAAATAATGTCTACAGGTATCCTATCATCTTTGGACTTGGCTCAACTTTCTCTGGCTGTATGGAGGTTCGTCAAGAGAGGGAAATTTCTGCGAAAGCCATGCTGCTAACGAGACAATAGAGTGTTGATCTCTGAGTTGACTGTGATGGCTTCCTCAATTACTCCCTCTAAGATTTTTACGAAAGTACCAGTCGAATTAATCGGTCTGTAGCTTGCTGGGCGCTGCCAAGAACCTGTCTTGTGGATGGGTGTTAATGTGGCATCCTTGCAGTCATTTTGGAGCGTACTTTCATTGAGGGGCAGTCTAAATACATCAGTCAGTGGGCCAGCTACACAGAGTGCGAGCTTTTTAAGCAGCCTTGGATGAGTCTCATCCGATCCCGTTGAGTTTTCTACATCAAAAGCACTTATCATCCAAAATGTATCATTGCAACTGATACCTACGGCGTTCATCCCAGTGCTTCTAATGATGAAATTTTGTCTAGATAATGTTCCCGCACAAAGACCTCAACAAAATATCCAGCCGTAGCTTCTGCTTTTTGCCTGTCGTACTCGATCAAGCGGTCAATTTCTGTCCCTTCTACTTGGGTGGGTATACCGCGATACATCTTATTTTCATAGTTCATGTAGGAAAATAACCTCTCCGGATGTTGCAACGCAGCCTGGGCAAGACATGTTTCAAAGTACGTTCGAGACCGGCGGATGGCAGCGACAGATTTATTTTGGACTTCTTGTAACGCTTAGCCACTTCAGGAGTACCAAGGTGAGTGGCAAGACTCCAACACTTTTTCTTAAGTCGTAGTTAGATTCGGGTTTCTTTGATCATCCACAGAGGATAAGGTTTCCGTTTCCTGGGAACAATCCACTTAACGAACAGTTAAGTCACTCGTGCATATAGGTATTTTGAGGAGCACCATGCACCTTCAACTGAGACTTCTAGACTGACCATCCAGTCCTCTAATGGAACTGCCAGGTCAATAGCCTCCATACTCACCTTTCACACGTTGAGTCTAGCCTACGCATCGGCCTGGTATATGACGTCTGCTACGAATCTGAAGATGATCACAGCAAGATCGCTTTTACCAAGGGATGCAAGGTGCAAGACGAACTATGAGTAGTCTGGGTTTGAGAATGCCAAGTCTGTAACTGATAGAGCGCGCCGATGATCATATCTGGTTGCTGTCCTAATGTGCTGTATGACGGCCAAGGAAATTGACGTTTCCACTAACCTGCAATCGAACAAGTTACGTGATGCTTCTGTTGTTAGTCTATCCCATTCAACTGATGGTGCCTCGAGGTCTCTTGCAACTAGACATTGGCAGTTATCTGTCCAGAGGGTCAGCTCATTCAGGAGGAAGTCTTTTGCTTCACATTCAGCACTTCGATATACTACAATAGGGTTAACATCTTGTCCTTTGCATTATGGTCGACAGCGCAGCATTTCGTATCCCTCTCTTCCTTATGTAGCCGTTCGTATTGCTTTCATGGTTATCTTAAAGTGGAGGATAACATCATCACCGTTAAGTGCTTACCCATCACTTATTTAAGGAACGAATCGCCGTAAACGTACTCCTCTATCACTGGTCTCAGATGAGAGCTAGGTTTCTGAGATGGCAATCATGTCAGGGATTTTTACGCCTATCACACTTCTGATCTCAATTCACTTGTTTACATTAACGTGCATTAGTGCACACGACGGTGAAACTGCCTAAATGAGCTTCTGTCCCACCTATAGAGGCTCCGGCATCATTTGTTACCGAAACATCACTACACGAAAATACAATGCTTCTAGATCCTGTTCTCCTGCTGATAATCTGCATTTCAGTTCTGCTCCCGACTTACGTTTTTTGATTCCATCAGCAAGAGCCGAATCCCTGGCCACGAACGCTCCAGATTCTTAAAGTCTAGGAGCGTTCCTCGGAATCTGATCCCTCTCATCTGTTGACTTGAAGATGAATTTAAGTAGCCAAAACCTGTTTTCGGCAGGGGCTGACTCTTTTTCGCCTGTTCTGTGTATCTTGGGTAAGGTGGCCGCTGGCGTCTTTCTCTAAAAGCTTGTTTATCATGCTCTGTATCTTTCCTCGGCGATGCATGAAACTGTTGGGTGGTTTTAAGCCATCACTTTCTTCCTTTTCGCGGAAGGTTACTGATCTATCGAGAAGCTCCGCTTCATCTTTGCTACATGAAGTTGCAGCAGTCGGTTCGACAACCGTCGGTGACGTTTAGCACGCCATTTAAACTTGACTGCTTGCCCTTCCTCAGGGTCCGGTATACAAGGCCTACCGAAACCTAGCTCGGTGACCTTGATACGGACGGCCTCAGAAAAGACTTCCATCCCCCTTTGGGTACTGTCGTCACTAGCTGGGTCACCAAAATGGGGGGACCTGCAGCCCGCTTAGTTCTTAGGCCGGCACGGAGAGTGCTCCACTTCCGTCTCTTTCATCGGGAGTACACCTAGCCTCAGGGCCGGTAGTTCTCGGGTTGTCTGCTGGCTCTGAGGGTGAGAACCCGAAGACGATCGCCTCACCCTACTCTGTGTGGCTTTTTCTAAGTTGTTGCCAACAGACACAACAGGTAGCCAACGCACCCGAATTACAGCTCGTTGTGAGATGTTCTTAAGACCATGCACTGAGACCTGTTTGTTAATGGATGCAGTGTAATTATCACGATCACAGTTGTCAGCTTTCCCTTTACGTGACAGCTTTTTCGTTATCGTATATAGAAGCGTTCATGCTTCTCCTACCAGCTCGCAAACATCGGAGCAACATGACACACAGCCAGATGTTCCCTGTGTTACTATACATTTTATACGCTCAGGGGGTAAGGTTCGTGTAATTATCCTGGAACCAAACCTAACACTGAGTATACCGTTTACCAGAGACCACTGCGCACTGGCACTTCATTACCAAAAAATCTTTACGGGACTAGGTCCACTATATCGGAGACAGTGGAGACAAACTTAAAAAACAGGTGATGTGTGAGTTAGAAAAGGAAAACTATAAGAAACGTTTGTAAAAGGTATCAGAAAAACATCTCTCACTGGAAAACAAACCAGGGGGTAACCGATAAGAAATTAATCCAAAAAGGATTCCATCTCAATTAAATCAAACAAACTTCCAACCAGATAACAGTAGGATAGCATTTGATGTGTGAAATCATAAAGGGCCAAGAATAAAAGTGAACGTGTAAAGTAACACAAATTTAAAAAGAGAGGTATCAGGTAGTTACTTCGCTTCCGCCAACAACCATTTGAAACAGAGAGCTCAGAGGCTACCTAACATGGGAGAAAGAATTATCCACCTGCTAGTAGAACGAAAAGAGGCATGTGATCGAGATATGAATATGGCCAATGTAGTATAAAAGTCCGACGACTCACCGCGACCTCCACAGTTCTCATGAAAGAAGGTACTCGAGTAAGACCTTTTTATGCTTTTATATGTTTAGGACTTCATGATATGGATGCTGTCATATCCGAAACTTGTGTTGCAGGTTCATTGCCTTTGACGGTGACTACAAGATGTTAAGGCTGGTCTTCACAAACTTGGAGGTCATAATACTGTGCAAAACGTTTTCGAAAGTTGCTGAGAAGGATTCCACGTACAACACCAACCACAACAGGCATGCCTTATAAAATTACCAGTGACCAAATGTGTGATTCAAAGAATAACTGTACTATACAGTTCAACAGATAGAGAACGACCCATAGACGTTGGAGATATGTTACAATGTGTTTCAACTTATCATGGCCGACACTTCAAACACGGTGACCTCCATCGTTGACAACATGGCTGTTGAGCGAGGTGCAGTGCTTGTTCCTTGTTGGTATATGATTGGTATATGATTTTAACACGTTTATTCACCATTTCGATAGGTTGCCGAGGCATAACTCACTTTCATAGGCACGTCTTCCGCCACTCTTAAAGATAGTTGCCAGATTACAACCTTACACCATTTCAACAAATATGCAAAGAAGCGAGTGCATGTTTTAGTAGTAACTATGACTTCTTGAAATTAGCTTTCAGTGCAGAAATGGATAAATTATGGCACCATGACTCTAAGAGGGGTAGGGAGGTCATAGTGAACATATACTTAAAACAAAGGGAACGCAATAGATGTGTAGATAAAGTCAGCGTGAGACCTGAAGACGAAATAATGGAAGAAATACTAGCACGGGGGCGGATGGCTCAATTGTCGTTTCAAATGCTGCATTTACTTGTGCTATCACGTTATAGACACCCTTATTTCACGCACGATGCTGGCAAAAATACGGGATTGTGCTGTTGTAATTCACTGAAGATCTTCTGAGTATTATTGCCATTTCAACTGATAGTGAGTCCACACAGAGTCAAGACTGCATTCATTACATCTAAGTGGCCTCTGGACACGTTCGGTAAAGCTTCAATCTCCTGGGTCGGGAAAGCCAGCCTCAACATTTTCTAGTTGTCGTTGGGGATAACACATGACATGTATCGTTCATCTCAAATATCATCCTCTTCCACTAGTTCGGTAATAACTGGTCGGCCACTGTGTAAGGTAAGCGTTTGTAGTAAACGCATATGTGCTTTTACTTGTAGCTGATTTTTATGCTTCCTGTTATTGTTCATTTAAATATATTTCATCCCGGGGAGTATTCGCAGCCTTTAATATTTCTCTTACAGCCTTGCACCTCGCTATCAACTTTTGCCTGCAACAAAAACACTTCATCATGTACAGCACTTAACCCATAATTTCCTTGCATTAAATAGATAACTTTCACCTCTTGTTATTGACGACTTTTGCGATCATCAGGTATGCTTAAGAAGGGGATGTTTTCCATAACAATAGTGCGAGCATCTGGTGGTGCTGTTGTCTTTGATATAGAGCCACTTCTTACACTGCGATAAAGGGAGGCAATGCATTCAGGAATGATAAGCTTTGTCAAGTCAACTAAGCGGTGTACTTGTCCAGAAAGTCATTAAAGAGTGAGTGCGTTCATAATATTGGGGCATCCGCCTATCCGGTCTACTGTTACACTAACCTTCAAATCGTTGTTCATAGTCACTTTTATCAACGCACATTGATGGACCTAATATAGTCGATAAAGAAGTAATAATTAGGAATATATGTATAATAATGGTATAGGTCAGTGCGTTTGTGTGCTACATGTTAGTTCCGTGCCTAATGAAGTTAACATTGACCAGATGTGTGATTCAAAGTATAACTGTAGTATACAGTTCAAGGTATAGACAGCGACCCGCAGACGTTGGAGATATATTACAATGTGTTTCAACTTATCATGGCTGACACTTCAAACACGGTGACCTCCATCGTTGACATCATGGCTGTTGAGCAAGTGGCAGTGCTCTTGCCTAAATTTTCGCTCTTGGCTAAATCAGACACTGCTATCAACCTTCTCGAGAACAGTCGTTACAACTATATTCTGAAGGTTTATACTGCCTGATTCGTCTGATCTTTATTTATTTGGGGTTTATTTCACTTCAGTGATCTTGGCGTGTTATACTTACAGGAATGACAACGCTAAAAGTATTTTTCATCTGTCCCCAAAGTCGGGACCTTATTAGGGTGGTCGTTTTCAAGGGGTTTTATCTGATACTAAATTTTTGCTCCAACATTTAAGTGTGGTCATCCAAATAAATCGTGACAAGGAGCAAAGATCAGTTCATTGCCGGCGAGTGATTTTGCGTTTCGATCAGAGAGGCTTGTTCCAGCTGTACAATTTAGGTGGAATGAAAACAGCCCCACTGAAGCTTATCCCACCCTTTTGTAAAATACATCTTATCCAACGTATCATAGTAACTCAGCTGTCAAGCTTTTCCAAACCATCCAGTCCATCGTTAGTCAGGAAACACTTCCGGAATTTGTCCCTTCGAGAACCTGACAAACCCGTACTATCCGTATTTGTCATACATCCACGACTACAAGACCAAAGAAGAACTCAATAGGGTGGCCAGTTGAAATGGTACATTCGGTTGGCCGCACCAAAATACATATGCCTTCCAACTAGGTGGCCAGAGGGTCACGAGCGAGCAACTCGGCATAACACGACGACGTGCCAAGTGGTATGAATGCTAAACTGTGTGCCTTCAACTTAGCGAGTCCGATCAAACTGTGAAGGTCAGCACCAATGATGAGTCTCATCAGACATTAGGCCATTTATGCCGTGGAATTATGTGCCACTACACGTTCAGCCTGATGTTTTATATATTTTCGGTCCTCTGTTTTTCCACCTGGTCTCTGAGATACAAGAACTAGTGGTTAACTGATTGTAGACTTGGGAGCCAGTCAAGTGAAAGCCTCTTAAATCCCGTCGGAAGCCAGTTGGATCCATCTGAAGGAGCATGTGTCATGATCAGTACTAACTCATTCTACAGTTATAGTAGATAAACCGTGGTACTCCCTCTCTGAAGAAGTTGTCGCTGCCCCATTATCCCGACTCTTTCAAAAGGAGGTTTTGCGCACATTTATTCTCCTACTGTTAAAATGAGCTGTGGTCTGAAAGCCACTAATCATCTTACGGACCATAGGTATCCCCAATACACATAACAAGCTGATTAACTTACAGTTGATTGTCTATGTCCATTCACGTTTTTCTGAATGGGATAAAACTGGCCATTCTAAACAAAAATCGTATTCCATTAAGACAGTGAACCATTGCTCGTTATCTCTACAACAGGGAGCTTGAAGTGAATCTAAAATTTGCAAGAAAAAGTACCTTCAGGTAGACAATCACTACCTACAAAGCGATAAGCAGGAAAACGTAAAGACCTCTATGACAACCTAGGGAGCTCAGAAACCACACGTTCCCCCTACTCGCATTATTGGTGTTGGATGTTGGACATTGTCACTACTTTGACTACCGCTCCATACTCAAGAGTGTTTGCAACAAGTCAGTAACACTCCAAGCCGTACTGCACTAACTATAAGTGATGTCGAATAAACATGGGGGTAGGTTGCATCTGTACACATATTCATGGTCATGTGCCTCCAACACTGTGGTTATGCTTCAGTCTTATTCCTTGTTAAATATATATCTTAGAGAGACATATGCTTCCGTCTTCAGTAATTATTATGATCCAGTCAACTATTCCGTCGGGCAGAATAGGGGAACGTTGAGCCATGTATTTGATGCGGGGCCAGATTTAGTGCACATGGGGCTACTCTTTTAGTAAAGCCAGTGAGGCTGGTTGTAGGCCCAACAATCACCACGTCTGGCCATTTGTAAAAACTTAGAGGCAGATATGGAGCCAAAAACACAGTCAGACGTAGGCCAAGTGCCGCAAGGCCCTACATCTGGGCCCTGAATCTGGTTCGACGTTTTCTATAATGAATGCTACAACATTGCCCTATTAGACCCGACGAAATTGTTGACTGGGTAATAGGCTAATTTGGCATGTGTTAATCCTTAAAATAGGTTTCTATGTAAATATCTGGTTTTTCCTTAAGTGCATTCATTGGAGGAGTTGATAATGCTTGTTCGAATAAGGAGTTCCAGCTGGCCAGTACCTTTGGTGCACCTTGTGACTTAAGCAGTCCTCCAAATCAAATGTCGGTGCATACTGGAACTTATTTCTATTTTGTTAATTCTCACTTCATAAGAGGCTGTTAAACTGTTGCACACTGCTTATCCTCTGAATCAGCAACCGTCGACGAAAATGCCTAACAAATAATGTATTTTCGTAGTCTACATTATTTGGTAAACTTCGCGTGTACTAAAGACGCTCTGGGACACGCTAAGTTGGTTCGTTTTTTTTTGGATTTTCTAGTGGTGGCCTCAAAGATCTTTCAAACAAGCACACACAGTCGTTACTGTCGCCTTTTTACTGTGCCAATTAAAGGGCAGACATACAAACCTGCACTAGCATATGATCTCAGTGGCATCAGATATTCCAAAGAGATCGTCAATCCTCCATCAATCAATTTTTGGGGCAAACCTTTTTCAAACCCCCTTCTCATAGGGAAGGCAGCATCAGTTAGGCGCCGCTGGTCATCCGGGAGAAACAGCTTACTGCTGCCACACCCCTTTCGATCATCAGTACGACTTCGCCCTCGGAGTCCCATCTTAACGTAGCAGTTTACCCTATAACGGTAACTGCTTTTGTCTTTGGTCCAAATGACCTGTCTTGCGTGGTAGGACTTCAAAGAACGAACGTTTCAGCCAGTGTAGTTGGGTCATTATGATACGCAGATGCAACCACTACGTCAAGAAAGCAGCTGCTAATCGAATGATTTTCACATAATCGGGAAATAACGCTGAGGACTTCATTATATCTGGGAGTTTGTTGACATACAGCAAGAAAAGATAATCCAAGATCATTCCTTAATGTACCATACTCCCCAGAGATAGCAACTTAGTGTTCCGTTCACTCTAACTCCCTGTCTCCTATCGCATTGGAGTTCTTTAATACAGGCCTGTTTCGTAGTGTAAAACCTGTGATGTGAGGCGTGCGAAACCTTATTTTAAAGCCTTTCTGAAGTCAATCAGCATAAAACAGTTGAGTTGAACTGTTCATGGGTAGCAATATTTCCCTTAGGTGTTGGTTATCCCTTTGGACGAAAATTAAAAAGTTTGGCAACCTTAGGTGTGAGGTTTGAGCTCTTTGAAATACACTGCACAACAGACAATAATCACCTCGGGTGTATTGAAGAATTGTTGGGTCAGCATTGTGTAGTGTTATACAGTCTTGGATTATACTTAACCATTGACCTGCTATCCCTATCCCTTATGACTGAATATTGAAAAACAATTGGAGATGCTTAGGATCTTGATCTCGCGGTCACGGGTTCGGTTTGCTTATTATCTTCACAGATGTGCATGAGATTGCTGATTGTGTTCCGTTCCGTCGTTTCGCTTAAAATCAACTAGTTATGTCCAAAATTTTCCTAACGCATTCAAATATCGCAGGAAGTTTCTCAGTGGGTCAGAAATATTTTTTGGGAGCTGTGCCCGGAGTTTATAAAATAGGCCCAAAGTGCTAACCAGCCAAATTGACCATTCCGAAGTCTACTTAGCACCTTCACAATATTATGAGCAATAAGACTGAAGCTGTGGCTCATTGTTCTAAGTACTCAATCTCCAACCAGTGAGTCACGAGCTGGAACGCCACACACCTGTCTAAGTCTGAGCAGCCAGGCAGTATCATTAGTACAACTGCTTGCTGCACGAACATCCAAGTGGTTGCTGAATAAGTTTTGATTTTGTTTGGATAAGAAATGAGAGTAAAAACAGGAAGCCAAAAAATAAAATAAGGAGTTGAGTCGAATCATGAAATTTAATATAACAAACAAAGTCATTGGATTAGTATGCATCTGCTCATGTTCAATCGATTTTAAGCCGTATCATATGTGATGTAAAGCTGTAACTTGCCATTTTAGAGGTCCCTCAGTCAGTCGACAATGGGCTTGGTATAGCTTTATAACAGTCTAAGTTGTCACACCACACACTAACACATCAAGGTAGACGGCACTAAGATGAAAGATAGAGGAGTAAGAAAGAAATTAGTCAAAGTTAGTGGAGTTGTAAAAGATAAGAGAGGGTAAAACAATAACGAAATACACTATAACGATTAAGATGCAGATAATTCGTTGATTTCTTTGCATTAATTGGTTCTGAGCCATGTCACCTAAAGTCACCAACCCTTGATTTCAGATGTCAGACAGACCCCAACTGGTAGATCTAAACTCATCTGCTTAGCTCAGACCAACAATCAGAGATTCCATGAACGAATACCACGTTTTAGTGTGGGTTGATTGATCTAAACGTAACATTGCGTATCGAGGTAGATGGTGACTAGGCATTTGTAAGACATGTTCTAACCACTTGAGACGATGAAAGTTTGAAACATTATTAAGTAACTAAACTTTTGCTGATAATTCCAGGCTTAACTTCTGCATCACTAACGTGATGATTTCCCGATAACGCAGCCAATTATAGTCGAACACCTGAAGCTTTCTAAAGTATTTCACTTAAGCGTTTCACACCTATAAATTATAACAACGTGAAGTGTTGTACAATCCTTCCGACCTTTGGTAGGCAGTTCGGTACCTGCCCGAAGCCGTGAGCAGCGTGGGTTGGCAAGAGAAAGCCCAACCTTTTGTATCTGTGACGAAATTTCGTTGGTCCCTCACTGACCAGCGGTGATTCAACTTTCCTCCTGGGAAATGGTCAGCACTTACAACCACTTCACTTCCTGTTGTCAAACGAGGTATTGATGCAAACCAGTAGTGAAGCAACAATTCATATTTGGATGGGGAGAAATATCTCAAATCGTCACTCGATGTGGCTAGAAGACTGCTTTTTAGCAATTAAAGCAACTATATCATCTGAGTACTCTAGATCTTAAGGAATCTACTGCGATGACGCTAATGCCTGAGAAGTCAAGCAAGGAGAGGTAGACTTCCGTAAACATATCTATGATAGAATTAAATAAGGAAGGAAAGAGTAAATTTCTCAGATTGACATAACTGACTATGGGCTCTAGCATGCCCACATGTATTCAAGTGCAAAGCCTTCAACAGAGTGATATACTTACTTGGCACTCCATTCAGTGAGAAACACTAACATGAGACCTCGGTTGGCAGAGTCGAATGCCACTTTCAAGTCAAAAAGTACAACCACTGTCGGGCATCGGCAAGCGTGCCTGTGTTCCAGAGGCTGGCGAAGAGTGAATATTTGGCCGATACATGCACCACCAGGCCTGAAACCTATCTGGCTTTCACAGATTGACTGCTCTCGAGCTCTAAAGATTGTAGAACCTGGATCCCTAGACACTGTTCACCAGGCTTATTCTGTTGTGGTTTTCACAAGAGAATTTCTCCCCTTTTAAGGACTGGGACAATCAGTGACTTAAGCCAGTCGGAGGAATCGTATCTGACTCCAACACATTAGTTACCATGTCAGTTAACCTGACAATCGGCAACCACCTTCCTTTGATATCTGCGATTCCAGTCCGTCTGGTCCTGATGCCCTTCTTCGTTTCAGATTACTTACAGCTTTCTCAACTTCAAGTATTGGGATTCCTATCTCAGTTTTCCATTCAAGATCCAACTGGAAAGCGACCAACAGAATAGTAGCTGCAGGTCAGTTAAACGGTCCCTCGAAGTGTTCCGCCCACCGTTCCAGTCGTCTTTCCTGCGAGTCAGTCACAGACCCATCCTTCTCCGCTCCAGTCTCACTAATCACTGGCATTTTTGCCAGTTTTCCTGTTAAGTTTAAATAGTTACTTACTTTTACCTATCACTACCACCTTTTCCATCTGTGTAGCTTTCTTTACGCACCACTGTTCGCGGTCATTGCGTAGAGTTATTGTTAGTCTACGTTTGAGTTGCTTCTGCTCGTCATTGTGATCGGAGCCTCAAGGCTGTGTTCGCGTACATCCATTAATTCAGAAGTTACTGAGATCTACTGGCTCCTTCTAACCACTTTCTGAGAGTAAGTATGGTCTTCAACGTTGTTTTATGGCAGATTAGAGTTGACGTCAAACTTCTTCTGGATAAGTGATGTTATTTTGCATCAACTACAGTCTAACTAGTTTCTTGCAGAGAGCAGCCTTAGTATTCTTATCGTTAAGTAGCAGTCGCAATGGCCTAGCTGCTATAGTTTTCCCACGACCATTTCGACACAAACAAACCCACGATCAGTGTCCAAATATTTGCTCCAGAAGGATCGACAGTGTTACCCAGACCTTTTCCAAGGGTGACTTATAGTAATATGATCTGTGTCCACTACTAAATTACGCAACAACCCCAAACTCCACTGCACTTACGGCGGTGCAGGCATATGAGTACTGTTACACTCTTATACAAATAAAAGTCAGCCTTTTACACAATATTCTGAGTGTTGTCAACATTTCACTTATGTAATGCGAATCAATACTAAGTTTTTTCTGTTCATCTAAGTATGTACCACAGATGTACAGCAGTTAAATTTGTAGCATATCTTCTGTACCTTACATATTTCATTACTATACTTTTAGGTGTAACGTGTAATGGCTGCTCACGTAGAGATTTTAGATTTAGACGGTATAAATGTCTCGTTTGTCAGGACTATGATCTCTGTGGAACGTGTTTTGATAATCAACAAGAAACTGACAAACATTCAAGTGCTCATCCAATGCAGTGTTTGCTCACTAAGGCTGACCATGATGTATTTTATTGTGGAGAAGTAAGTAATGCTTTCAAAAATCCAAACATCTTATCATAAATTGTTTATAAATGTTGTATACATACGGCAAACACATTAACTGTAATAAGGATTGACTCAGTGGTCTTCGCGTATAGTATCTAGCCATTTGTTTTGGGTTGATCCTAACCGTTTTGTATAGTTACCCATACTGCCTAGTACATGGATATTTATACACTTATTTAAATGCATATTTTAATCAACAGGAACTAAAACATAATCTAATACATATATTAGTTTGCAGTTTTACGCTTCTTATTTCAGTCGAGACCCAGGTATGGATGAATTAACATCTAGGTGAAACCCAAGCAAGTATTATCAAAAGATCTCTAATAATGGTGAATAACAGTATGGTTTATGCCCGTCGTTTGATCGTTATCAGTAACAACTGATTAAAATTTTGTCTACCAGTGGTAGTACTATCCAGGGATATCTAGAGACGATCGTCTTTGTCAGTTTGAAAATGCCTTCCTGTGTAACTTAACCTCCGTAATTGCGTATTGAAGGCTTCTGAAGAGAAATCATATGCAAAGAATGTAGTTTTCAGAAGTTTCACCCTTCTCATTTTTTAACATACAGGAATACAATAACAGATTTGAGATGAAAAGGTAAACAAAAGTAATTTGATTTCTAGGACATAGTTGATTCCGAAAACCAACAGTCTTATTGATACATCAAAAAAACGAAGTCATACAAATTACTTGACGGAATAATTTTGATACTTACTGTCTTAAAAGACAACTTGAAAGATTTGTCCGGGAATCTGCAGCTATACATTTTTTGAAACTGTGGGTCGATCCACAAACGTCTCTTTAAAATCAAGGTTGAGTTTACCTGTCCTGTTGACCAGACCAGCCTATAACGTGCTGAAAGTCCTATTGTGTGACATCCTATCACCCCGAAAATGTTAGTTGAAGTGGTAAAACTACAGGCAACTACTATTGTAGCAGTAATAAATTCTTTGTTGCTTATGCTGTATCTGTAAAGCAGTTTATCGTGGCCAGCACATATTAGGATATGTGGATATACGCAGTCGGCAGAAACTGTTGACGTTGATGAAAAAGCAGGAAGATTGATTCAAACGTGGAGATACTTCGACAATATTTAGTAATTTAGTGATCACTTGATGTGTTATCGGTCCGCTTCTACTGGGGAAATCCTGTTGGTGAGCACCATACCATTTTCTAACGCCAATTACCACATCGTTGCAAATTAGTATTTCAACTTCAAACAAACTGATATCATCGTTGAGTACACAATTTTGGATTGTACACCAGCATCAATTTGTGAGTGATTTTAATTTCAATCATTCTGGTATTTAGTGAATGGTTCTTCTATAAAACTAGTGTTTGGGGAGATATCTCTGTGAATTTCAAGAGGTGTCCTTTAGTTCTTGTGTCATTCGTAGTCTTCACCTGCGATAGACAGACAAAATCGACGTAAAACCTCTCACAGTAGTTTGTCAGTTCGATTTGCCATGTTTCACAGTAGTATACAAAGAACAGGTAGATATAAAAATACTATCATAGTAGACAGTTTGTGTGAGAGACTGAACATTTCGAAGATAAAAGTTGGTGCAAATATTCAAGGAGTGAGTACAACTGCGCCACTTTGACCGATTTTTGGTCATGTCACTAGGAGTGTTAAACCACTGACTCCAGTAATCTAGCGGATCCCGTCCAGGTGATCTACATCTCTCCACATGACTCATATCAACAGTCAGTAATTTCACCGACTGGTGCCACGTTTTGGTCTGGCCACTCTGAACACTTTCAACCTAATCCAACTTCCCCTAGCATGGCACGTCAAGGTAGACGGTCACTCGGTATGCACAGTGCATATTCAAGCCATCTCAGTCAAGTCAGGTTCACAATCTGATCAGTCAAATTACCTATCTTGCCTAGTATCCTTTGTCTGACTTCAATATTGCTCATACGATGTTTCCACCAAACACGAGCAATACTACAAAAATATCTATGGTCAAAACTCTGTAATCACTTCATATCTTCTACTTCCAACGATCATGTTTCACCACAGCCGTATAACTGGACAGCATAGACTGCAGCGCAGTGTACTCATCCTTTGATAGCCGGTTATCTCACCAGCGCCACAGGTCATGCAAGTTGGCAAGTGTAAAGCGAGCCTTCTGTATCCCAGCTGAGATTTCGTCTACAACCACCCCGTTCATCTCAATAATATAGTAACGGTTTTTAAACAGCATCTATGATTTCTTATCATAGACAAGCAAATCCGGGATAGAAGTAAGCTGTCATCTTCTTTTGATGTTCTCAAGTGCAGTGTCATTTGCCACTTTTTTTTTTATCAATACTGAGGGTTTCTTTTTCTGGTACTCAGCTTTACTAGGACATATTGTATCACTAGGTTAACTAATTACTTCCACTGACGTTTAATCAATTTTTACTTTTCAGTAGTTATTCAGATATCATTCTTTGACAAAATCTGTCTTCAAGCAACTCAACTGACCGAAAAATAACTTTTTCTACTACCTAAAGACTAGACCATATGTTAGAAAAGTGGGTGTCAGGAATTTTTCTATTTCCAGCTAGTGAATACTTCTTGTCAGCCTAATAGGACAGGTGAATATATTAATCACTAAACCACTGAGTTGATTGGCAATCCAGCCGTTATCAGAAGCCTTTTTTGAAGTGGTTAGTTTCCCGAATTCTCTGTGCAAATTCATTCACAACGGCAACCAAGCCGATATTGTAGATACAATTCTTAGTTTGAAGAGAATATAAAGACTAGAAATAATATAGACCACTAGGTTTTGACCGACTAAATCAACAGTATTACCTATTGTCAAACCTTCAGGTCTTCTGTTCCAACACTACTAAGAAGCCATAAACGAAAATGACATTTGTTATCCTGTCTTCTGAGTTCTACCGAAGTCTATCAAGTTACATCACTTTCTGGTGAGAAATAATTTGATCTCTTTTTAAAATTTGAAGTTGCATGCTGTCTTCCTAAACTGTTGCCCCTACTAAGGGGGACATACCACCAGAAGTTGCTGTATGAAATTAAGTTTTCATCTGACTTCCATTTTGACCTTACTCCTGACATGTCTGTCCCACTGGAATCTTACTTATCACTGTGATCGATCCAGTAAATGTGCTCCTCAGTCTTCTCTACCCATAAAGTAGTCACCTCCTCATTAATTTTTTTCACCTGATTCTAAGATTACCCGAATCGAAATGCAGTCAGCGAGGATATAGAGTAGGTAGTAAGCCACATATATTGTGTGGGAGCTATCGATACCACGTGACTGCTCATAGGTGGGGCGGTGCTCGAATCGGTGAAGTCGAGTACCTTGACCAATTAGCTATTGCTCCATGATTGTCATTTAAGTCACACACACACTTGCCAATTTTTATTACTCTAGGGTTTAAATTTTCATATTAGATTTGTTTATTTGATATAAAGCGCACAGTGACCTGCATATAGAAGAGAATGAAAAAATGGTTAGTTTTGACGTAACAAGTCTGTATACTAAAATACCAATCAATATGGCACTGGAGGCAGTCAGAAATCAACTAGATACTGACTCACAACTTACTCAAAGAACCAAGGCATCGGTTGATGAAATCATGTTAGGAGTGCAGTTATGCTTGACCTCGACAGTCTTCAAGTTTCAGGGAAAGATATATAGACAAACAGAAGGAGTAGCAATGGGATCACTAATATCCCCTATAGTAGCAGATATATTTATGGATAGTTGGGAAGATATGGCTTTACGAACATATAATCCGACACCTAAGATATGGTGGCGATATGTAGATGACACATTTACAGTGTTGAAATCGGAACATATCGACAGTTTCTTGACACACATAAACTCAGTAGTTAACGCAATCCAATTCACTTACGAAGTAGAAAATAAACAAGGAGAATTACCTATGTTGGATTGCAGAATAAAACGAAGGACAAATGGTGATTTAGATACTACCGTCTACAGAAAAGCAACATATTCTAACAGGTATCTAGACTTCACGTCATCTCATCCAGTGTCAGTTAAAGCGGGTTTAGTCAAATGTCTAAATAACAGAGCTGAGAAACTCACTAGTCATTGTAAGGACTTAAAAAAGGAATTGAAACACATAAAAGAAGCGTTAATAATTAATAATAATCCCCATCATTTTATTAAGAAATTCACACAAACACATAAGAAGGAAAATAATAACACTAATACAAATACAAATAATAGCGACAACATAAGCAGAAAGGAAATCAACACCTCTATTGTGATACCATACAAGGAAGGAGCATCAGAAACCATACGTAGGATTCTCAACAAGGTTGGAATTAGGGTGGCATTTAAACCAACAAACTCACTTAGAGGCTAAAAGATCCGATAGAACCAATTAGGCAAAATAATATAATCTACCAAATTCCATGTAATGACTGTGAAGTCAAATACATAGGTCAAACTAGCCGGTCGGGGTCAGTTAGATTAGGAGAACATAGGAATTTAGCTAAACATAGAACGACAGACCCCAATAAGATCAATAATCTAGAAAAACACTCAGCCATTGCATTACATTCATTAACACACAACCATACAATAGGGTGGGACAAAACCACTGTACTTAAGTCTAATATAGCTAGATGGAGAAAGAGATTAATTACTGAATCTTTGTTCATCGAATCCACATCCAACACATAATAGGAATGACGCAACACCTATACCAGAGATATGGAAAACTTTACTACCAATCAAAAAACAAAAAACAAAGAGAGATCAGGTGACAGGACTATAAAATCAGATATCGAAAGAAGTGTGATTACATTGATATGATTATGAGCAATAATTTATGCTCGAAACGTAATCAAGTAAATGATACTGTATCACTGTGCGCTTTACATCAAATAAACAAATCTAATATGGAATTACATTCTACCACAGTGCCCAAGTTTTACACTTATATTAGGTTTAAATTTTCGTTCACATAATTTCGTCTATCATTTGTATGTAACACTCGTAAACGTTTTTCTTCCCAATGAGCCCTAAATGCAGCTGATTTCACTTTCTTTAGGCAAAAAGCTTTCAAGAAGCAGTTTACTGGTTCAAATATCATTTAACCCTGTTAAATTGATGTTAGTTTCTAAATTAGTAAAGTAGTTTACACATTCACCCTCTTGACTTTTTGCCCATAAATGAGTTGTTGGTGTAAATCAGTCCTGTTAGATCATGTTATGTTTCACAAATGCCAAAATGCATACTAAATACTCAAATTTTCTTCCTGAGCCTTCACCGGATCCAAGATCACGCTTCTATTGTCACCTAACGACATTATACTTTTCATGAACTCTATTTTAGTTAGGTTATCTCCAAGCAGAAACTAAACTTGAGGAAATAAAGGTTAGAGGACCTACTTACATCATTATGCTTCTGACAAAGTGGAGCGTGAAAAGTGACAATTAACGTCCTCGATAGACACCAGTTGATCGTTATACATCCAGAAGACGGTTCAATACAAGACTGAGTTCTAGCAGACAACTCAGTAAAATAAAATTAGACATTCCCAAGAAAGGTATCTACTGATGGAACTAAATACTGCTTTCTGGTCAAGAAATGTCACTAATATCATCTACTGGTTAATTTATACCTGAGTCCCATAATCTGGCATAGGATGAAGATGTGACTGATATGCCTCTCTTGATGCCTGAAATTTATCTTGTTTCCTCGTTCCAAAACCCATTAAGTCACCGAAAGAATCTATGACTGCTTTGTAAATATGGGTGCACATGTAATTGTTGGTGAACCTATCTATCCATGAAAATGCAAACACGAGATCACTAGTAAACTTTAGCTATTTATTTGTCAATGTATACAGGGCATCATTTCTATTGATACATTATTATGCCAGTTTGTTCTTTCAGCAAATTTTCAGCTCATAACTTTATTATTATTATTATTATTATTATTATTATGACTACATATTTTTAGAGTTCAACTAAACAATGTGTTCAAAGTTTCACCTGTTCAGTATGTGGCCAGCTAGGTTTCACAGAGTCATCTTTATCGAATCATGTATTTTCCCATCATCCAAATGCTGGTAATTCAGAAGTACTCTGTCCATTCTGTGCAGTTCAAACTGAAGGTGATCCGAATCGTACAACGCATGACATTGCTGGTCATTTCAAAAGTGTTCATAGTCTTTCACCTTCAGGGAATAATAGTAAAAGTAAGTTCTGGATTGCAAGCCAATAATACTGTTTCTGTTTCCTATACTCAACTGTAGTGATTTCTCAGTAATTCATTTCCGTTTTATACAGTTGTCATGTAGCGGAGAATCTAAATTATTGATATTGATGTTAACCTGAAACATGAGAGTAAACCGTGCCTGAAGAAATTCGAAATACAACTTAGTAACCATGTACACGTTCATTCCGTAGGTAGTCACACGTATTGTGTAATAGCTTGACCACGCAGACCTTAATAAGTTGTAGTAGGTTTCGAACCCATGACCCACTAATTGAGAGCTAAATACCTGCATTATACTTGACAAGCTTACTTTATTTCCACCATGCACTCCAAGACGTTTTAGACCAATAATGACATTTAGAGTAATAGTGAGATAGGAATAAATTATATTGAGTCATAAGTGGCCGTTGAGAAATCTAACTAACAAATTACTTTTTATATACACTCTTCCTTTGAAGGTCCTGAACCATTGAATGTAACCAGCCATTCTTCAATTCCGGGTTCATTTATTCACCGTGGCAGTTCTGCTAATCAGAAATCCTCTAACACTGCAAGTTTATCCACTCGAACAACTAATCAACCACGTGTTCACGATGTCGGTATTGACAAACCTGTGAATCGCAACTGCACTACTACATTACACAACCGCTTGGTGGTTGACTCATCATGTCACAATCAAAATACTGAGAATATGAATCGTATTACATCACAGCTGATATCATCGAATTCACGTTTCACTCCTGGTAGTATAGTAGCAATGAAAAACTACTTGAAAGCATTAAAACGCAATGACAAGAAGTACAATAGTGACAGTATCAATAATGGATTGTCTAATGAACAACAACAGGCTAAGGAGTTCACAGACGATGATAATCAAGAAGCAGATCAAAATTCAATCAACACTCATCTTGATCTATCTGGTAAGGGAACAGATTCACAGTCTACAGTTGATAAATCATACCACACTGGAGCTATGCTGTCTCATGATAGTAACAATCAAGAATCAGTAAGTGTGTAATTTGTGTGCTGTTTTTAGCATAAGTAGTATACTACTGAACGGAAGTTTTCATATCACACTATACAGCGATTTAGTTATTATATGAAGATATATTAGCAGTACAATAGGCCCATGTTTAGTAAGTTCGTTTTATTAACAGATGTTCACTGTTTCCCTCTTGTAGTTTCCATAACATTGTTTGGAATCACCTAGAAATGTATGTGGATAGTCACTTACACTTTTATGTAGTCACTGATCAAACGCGGATAATCGTTAATAGCACAAATATGTGATCATATTCTGTTGTAAATAGACTGAAGTTTGGGAATACCGGCTATTGTACCCCGACCCAGTGACTCGTTGGTCGTAAACTCCGTTTGAAACAAGATTGAATCCCTCACAATACTGAAGTATCCCGAACTGAGATAAAGCAGTTGTGTAGTACATCAAAACCGTGATTGGTTTTCAGCTTAAATCCCGTGTTCAAGTTACCTGATTTACAAAAATCATTGACTTGAGTTAACTGTGACACTTGGGTACTGTATTAGAATATAATTCCCCATATTAGATTTGTTTATTTAGCATGGGACACAACGATACAGTGTTATTTACTTTGATGACATTTCGAGCATATACTATTGATCATAATCATATCAATGTAATCATACAGCCTTCAACATCTCACTTTTACTGTCCTATCACCTCATATTCTTTGTTTCACTGGTAGTGAAAATCTTCACATCTCTGGTATAGAGTGTTATATCTTCGTCGCCAACGGTTATATATTCCGAATGAATATAATAAGCACGTTTAACTGACAGTTAACTTAGTACGCAAGAGCCACTACCTGTAACCCCAGGACGGATAGAGAGAAGATCGAAGCTGGATGATGGGAGAGTTTATTACTCCGGGAATATAATAATAATCAATCCCAAAACACGTGAATATGTACACACATGACCATATCCGCAACTTGAGACATTGGCATAGTAAGAGTAAATATTAACCAGTCAGCAAATTACATTACAATGGGGGCAGAAAATAAACTACTAGTTATACCATAAAAATGTTGTAGGAATGCCAAGTTAAAAACGTCCAGATCAATAACAATGTTTTCCGCAAAACTAGGGCCTCACAACATAGAGGTAGCATCATTTCTATTACATATGTTGGGTGTTGATTCGATGAACAAGGATTCAGTAATTAATCCTGCTCTCTCTCCACCTAACCATTGTATTGGACAGTGGATTTATCCCACCTGATTGTGTAACTGTGTGTTAATTAACAGTTTATATACACGTGTGATCACGTGTTTTTTCTTAAAAGCTCGACATGCAGTGATGGACTATGAAAACTTTTCAGGGATTTCCAGGCATCCTTGAGGAGTCTAGAGGATATTGTTGCACTCCATAACAGTTTTGCTTCCTTATTTAAGTCTCTGCACTGACTAGTGGGTTTTTTAGCCCTATAATTCAGACATTTGACTAAGCACTCCTTACTGATACTGGATAAGATGACTTGAAGTTTAGATACCTGTTAGAATTGCAAAGTAAAAAGGAAGACGGATGGTGGTTTAGAAATTAATGTCTACAGGAAACTAACAAACTGTTACAGGTATCCATCGAGACTTTCAAGTCATGGCATCCAAAATCACTTAAAGTGCATTCGAGGAAATGTTTCAGTAATAGAACTGAAAAACTCAACTGTCAATAAAAGAATCGAAATAAGGAATTGGAACACATAAAGAAGACACTTCTGACTAACAGTTATTCCCTAGAATTTACTAAGCAACTTGTAAGAGCATTTAAGGAAGCAACAATTAATGGTAATATGAATTGTAACGACAACACAAGCAGAAAAAAGTTCAAGGCTTTTAAGCAAGAAAAATCAGAAGTTTTAAGGGTGCTTCTCAACAAGAGTGGAATTAGAGTGGCATTCAAATCTACAAACTCACTCACAGATAAACTTTGTAGGTTTGAGGGTCAGTTCGATTATGATAAGGTAGCAATTTAGTCAAAGAGAGAATGACAGACTCCAATAGGATCAATAATGTAGAAAAAACTCTGCTATTTGCATGCCTGGATTAACGCAGAGTTACACAACTGGGTGGGATAAATCCACTGTTCAATATATATATATATATATATATATATATATATATATATATATATATATATATATATATATATATATAATAATGGAGAGAGAGAGAGAGGGATTGATTACTGAATCTTTGTTCATCGAATCAACACCCAACATATGTAGTAGAAATGACGCACTACCTCTATACCAGAAATGTGAAGATTTTCACTACCAGTGAAACAAAGAATATGAGGTGATAGGACAGTAAAAGTGAGATGTTGAAGGCTGTATGATTACATTGATATGATTATGATCAATAGTATATGCTCGAAATGTCATCAAAGTAAATAACACTGTATCGTTGTGTCCTATATTAAATAAACAAATATAATATTGAAACTGTAGACTTGGTGAATCATGAGACTTATTGACTTGTAACTTCGAAGTAGTTACGTGGGAATTGTGCTTAGCTTCTGTTGTAACCTGCCTCATCCACCAGTACACTAAGCGACGTTACTTGTGATGCATTCGTGCGGGTGGAGAACAACATTTTTGACTGCTTGGCTGTCTAACTACTCTCAATACTAAATCCCAGCAAAGGAAAATCAAAAGACGTGGTGAACAGGGCAGGAGTGTATACTGACTATAGAATGAAATGGGAAAAAATCGTACATTTTTCCATCATAAGAAAAAGAAACTTTGCCACCTGTATGAAATATAACTTCTAATTTTATCACTAAAGCATCCTGTTACTAAACCCCCCTGTAGCAAATAACTAGTTATCTGTAAAACCACGTAGTATTTGGTGTATCAGACTGTTTTGGAGTTGTAGTTTACTAGCTGGCTCGTATTCAGCAGATGTGAAAGCCAGGTAATTTCGAGTGACTTTAAAGGCCACTGCAGTGATCAGTCAAACACCTCTGTTTATATTAGTTCGATGTTTCAGTAGTTGTCAGGGTGGACTTTAAAGTTACTTGTAGTTTGATTAGTTGGTCTTTGAAATCTAACCTGCATGATGGTGACTAAATCTGTAGGATGACGATTTTCAGTTTCGTCACTTCGATCAGATTTCAATATATGTTTCAGTGATGACCGATATCTAGTAGCAAACACAGTTAGAGTTCACTCCTGCTGGATCCTTTTCAGTATCTTTATTATCAATACATTTACAGGAGTATTTTGGCTCATTTCAACATATTTAGTTTTTATCTTTCATCTGTTCATGTAAACAGTGTCCGTTAGAAACAAAATTTATGGAAAAATGCTGAAATACTCAACACCCTAGTCATCACTGAATTTGCCACAAGTTTCATTCTTTTTTCTAATGTAACAACAAATTTTTAAAAGTCTCCTCTCTGTATGCCTGACTGATTTGTTGTTTTGTTTCTTTTTTGCTGTATTTTGTATAATTACAATTGTCAAACATGTATTCAATCGCAAACTATCCTGTAAATTTAACTCTCCAGGTAGTTGAAAGTCAATGCAACTTACCGACTGATTGTGCAACAACCTCTTCTGGTAATCAGGAATCAAAGTCTGATGAAACTTGTATCTCTCCGTCTCCTCTTGAGAATGCAAACGCTAACGACCAAGCAGACATTCCGATCACTGATAGTAATCGATACCTAGAGTCTTTAACATCTGAAATGTTAGATCATAAGCTGAATTCACTATTCCCTAACCCCTCAAAATGTACAAAATCAGCTTCAGGTGATCCGCATCTGAAATCAGGCAATGATGATAAATCAAAAGACGCTAACAAAAAGCTAATTTTTAATTCGTAAGTTTGATTATCCCCTTTCTCTATTGTGGTCACTGGCTACAAGCCTAAGTAATAACCATTTATGAGTGGCATCAATGTATGAAGTCTCTGACTGTTAGCTTGAGCCATGTGGGGCGATACAGACTAGCCGGTTAAGGTCCACAGGACAAGAGGAACCAGTGGTTAGAGACTCTAGGTGATATGGCTCAGAACCTATGTCAGTGTCGCAGAAGTATACACATACTATCCTCATCTTAACGACGCTATACCGAATCTCACCATTTTCTCATTCTACCTTTCTTGCTTTAAGTACTTTATATCTCTTTTGACTGAATTTTCTTTTCTTCATCTTCCACTTCACTGCCATTTCGCTTGATGTAGTGATATGAGGTGTGGCAGCTTGTATGGTTACGCAGGAATGCCTGGTCCTATGTTGGTGGATGATGATGATCTATGAGTGAGTTAGCGAGTCACCTTATAAAGAGAACTTCGAAAGTTTATGGTTGCAAGTTGGATTGATTTCTATGGATACGAACGCTGTTGACACGAAATCTAATTGTTTTTCAATGAATAGATGCTAGCTACCTCTTGAATCCCGCTCACGTAATATTTAGGAGGAGACGCAACATCACAAAATTTGTCCCATCAGGTATCAGTATTAATGAAGCGACCATCCAGGAATTTCGTTTTATTCTGTGAATATACAGTGCATACAAAAATTACTCAAAATAACCAAACTCTACCACTTCTGAATCTTAGTTTACCATTCTACTGGTTGGCGTTGTGATCAACCAACTCCTGATTTGGTGCATTTTATTACATTGGTGTCCTATGTTTTGCTTTTCTCGTAAAATATCCAACCTATGACAGAATCCATAAACATGGAAAAACATTGACCTGATTTATCTGAAGGATCAGTATTGCAACATGTAGAGCAGTTTGAGGCTGACAATAATCCGTTTATTGCAGAAAACACTCGTGATACAGTACGAAATTTTCAGCGTGTTGTTGCTCCAGGACTGGTCTTCGAAGGTACCTCGACAAACATTAGAAAGTGGAGCGGTTGAGTGTATCGACCACTTCACTTACCCGGGAAGTTGAACCAGCTCTGGTGGCTCAGTGGCCGATGAAATCTCTGCACGAACACAAAAGGGTCGACTGGCTTTTGCCAACTTACGACATCTGTGGCGCCGCCGTGATATCCGATTGTCCACTAAGGGTCGTGTGTACCACACAGCAATCCGGTCTGTCCTACTGTATGGCTGTGAAACATGGCCATTGAAGGTGGAAGACATGAGAAGGCTAGCTTCAGGTGTTGGACCACCGTTGTCTTCGTAGTATAGACCGTATTCCGTGGTGTCACCACGTGAGTAACGCACAAGTCAGGCGTCGAGTTTACGACAGGAGAGGTGAGACAGTTGATGATATAGTTGTGAACCTTCACCGACTGAGACGGTTGGGATGTGTTACGTGTGCCTAGTAGGTTCAGGCTGGAAAAACGGTCGGCGCGGCCAGATTGAAATATGACTTCAATACATTAAGTCCTTGTCTGTTTGTTTGAGTCATGTGGGGCGATACAGACTAGCCGACTGAGGTCTGCAGGACAAGAGAAATCAGTGGTTAGAGACTCTAGGTGATATGGCTCAGAACCGATGTCAATGGCGCAAATGTATGTTTGCATTATCCTCATCTTAACCACTCTACTCAATCTGATCATTTTCTCATTCTTCCTTTCCCTCTTTTACTACTTACTACCTCTTTTGACCGAATTCCCTTTTTTCTCCCATCTTCCATTTTATTGCCTTGTTACTCAGTGTGCTGATATCAGGTGTGGCAACTAGGACAGTTACGCAGTAATGCCTGGTCCTATGTTGACCTTGATGATGATGATGCATGTAGTAAGCATTTCGACGAATTCCCCATTCATGCTATGTTTTCAAATGGAATAGTTACAGGATCCGAGTAACTTTAAGAATGACCACATTATAAGCAATCATATCTACCGACTAGCTGCTGTTAGGTTATCGTCTAGTCTATGAGTACACTGTTGCAGTAGAGAACAAATGGAAAGGCATGTAGAAGTCTGGCGGTTGAGGTTCTGTCAGCCAGTATGAAAATCTGCGGTTTGAGTTGTGTATCCCAAGAAAAGTTATATAATGTACTATTATACGCTTAGAAGGTTATTGTCACCCATAATGATGTTTTCTTCTAATTCTATTGATAATTTGATAAAACAATAGGTTGAAAATATTTCAGAAATGTTTGAGTACACAATTAGGTTTTAAAGTTCAAGAGGAGCGATTTGATGTAATATATTCGGTCGAAATACTTTTTTTGGTAGCTCAAAATCTAAGTAGGCCACCAAGTGTCCCTCACGTTCAATCACTGTATAATAGTCTGTTCATACAGATTAATTGTTCACTGGTTATTGTATCAGGTATACATTATTGCACATTCATGTACATATGATATATGTAATAAAGTTTTCTTCATCTTTTCAGTCATGCAAACGATCATCAGTCAGAACTGCCAACTAATATTCAAGATGAGTGGGATATTAATTGGCATATGTTTTTAAATGAACTAATTTGGTCCAGCCTTTGTAGTGTCGAAACACCATCGAGGATCAGCTAAAAATTTGTATAGATCTACGCGTATATACATATTTCTACGAGTTATTTCTCAGAGGATCATCTATCAAGACCACTTATGATATCTTCATCTTGTTGCTTTATGCTTGTTATTGGATCTGTATAAAGTTGTGTGGATAAATTCGTCATAACCCATCTGTACTTCCTTCCCCTTTCAGTACTTGTTCCCATTTTAGTTATTCGGTTCAGCTGTGAAGACAGGAAAGAGCAGTAGTGGATTATGCCCCTCAGTCTGTGTACATAATATGTGAGGTGTTTTTTGACAATCATATCTTGCCTTGCCTATTGCATAGATATATAAAATGTCTTTTCAGTTACCTGAGTGTGATTGTTAGAGCTGTAGTGTTTTTAAACTCTACCGCCAATTGGTTGTAATGACTGCTTCATATGTTGTATTTAAGTGGAGGAGGACTAAATTCGTTCATCTTTGTATCTTATTGTGTAACAACCTGTTGCTTTCTCCACCTATTACCATCTTTTATATTCTGCTTTGTCCGTCTACTTAACAAGACGAAATAGAAGAAGGGGAAGAATATTGTGATCTATTACATGAAATAATCTGGATCTTAGTCTTAGCATTGTCCATCACCAAAATACATTTTTGAAATAATCTTTCATTTTACATTGCATCAGTATTTACACCATTAAATGGTGGCTTCTCTATTTCTTTTGCTGTCTATAGAAAGTGTGTTTGTTCAGGTACAATTTCTTGAGTGTCTGTCTATAATTTCGTTAGAACGGGCTCTTATGACCTGACTGCATTAGTGGGCAAACAGTGACTTTTTCCTCAAGTCGACAGTTAACACCAAACAAAAGGTGACCTGCTTAGATGAAATGGATCTGATTCGATCGATAAATACTCGTACAACTTGGCTGTTTGTATACAAGTTCGGTGATGTTAAAGCGGAAAAATTAAATAGCAGGAAGTTAGATGATCGTCAGGGTGCCTTGAAATCATTAAGGCATATCTGCAATTTTAGAACTCATATCCCCTCTGGAATCCAAACCCACGTCACCTAGTGCTACAGTCAGAGACGTTACTATCGAGCTGCTGCGACTAACTTCTAGGATCGGATGATGTACAATGGTTGGTTACTTGAGAACAATCGATTTCATTTAGTCTTTTGTGATAGCTTTGCAATATGATCACTAAGGTATGCAACTCAACATCGTAGTGCACTTGGATTAGTGAAGTGTTTGGAGGAAGTTGGCAGTAAGTCTGAACCGAGGTTTCTTGCTTTGGCACTTCTCAGTTACGTGTCGGGAACCTTGCGAAACACATGGTTCTCATAGATATTCGAACCAACACTATCTAGCCCTGCATTTAACTTGGAAATACTGCTGAATGATTATCAGTGATAATGAAACACAGGTTCAGAGTTGCCCATCCACTTTCTAATTCCACGGGATATCAATCAAAGTGCACTACGATGTCAAGTTTCCTAGAATCCTAACCATATTGCAAGCTTGATTGACAGGTTTCAGTTAGTGATTAATATTAGATAATATGATCCTGGTTACCTCAGTAACCAACCAATTTGAGTAGCGTAGTGGAAACCGAAAAATAGCATCATTTAGAGCAGCAATAATAAAAAGCTTTGTTTCTCGAAGTTACATTGCCTACAGAGTTATATATGTTCATAAGTACAAATTAATATAATCAGTAAACAAACCAAGGAATGTTTCAAACATCATCGACGTGGAAACTGGTTGTCTGGTATTTTCAATTTATATAGTGTCTTCCCTAAATAAATCAGGCTGTTCGACATAGATTGTTAACGAGTGGCGCTAGGAACAGCAGCAAAACATAGTAATTGACTACAAAGTTGTGTGCCGTTGGAGTGTTTCCTGCAGATGATCAGCAGCTGATACTGCTTTCCGTAAGGTAGGAATAAGTTGACCACAAAATGCCGCACCCAACTGTATTGCGGTCTTCCAGTGGTGTGAAATCCCATCAGCAGTCTCGTGCACGTTCATACAGTAGGCAATAAACTACACCTATCGTGTGAGGGCTAGTGATACTGACTGCCGAAACCTCGGTAGGCGGGGCTTGGTTCGATCCTGTGGACCATCGGTTGGGGGCTAAGTGCCTAGATCAATGAGCCACTGTTCCAGCGGCATAAATATAGATTATCTGGATGGGTCTATATAGTTTCATTAATCTTCAAAAAATTATGTGTAACTCGCAAAAAGCTTGGTACTTTTGTGCCTAGGAAGGCTGGGTCATGTTCCTCATGCTTTCTGTTATAGTGATTCAGCACGAATGGAAAAAGGTAGATGAAGTAAGGTAAATAGGCCAGGCCTTTTTGATCTAAGTGAATGAACATAGAACATACCACTAACCGGAGCGGTGAAAACCATTAAAGTGGAATGGATATCATGTTCAACACTGTTCAACTTCATACTGAGTAAAAAAGTACTATATTAAATGTTAGTTGAGATTACAACTCTGATTGAATCCTAACATCGTTATACAAAGGACCAACTTTATCTAAATAATTGACTAACTGCTACAGAACTTTAAATAGCTGTGCAGTTCTATATGATATCAAGATCGGATTCGTTACCTTCAGGTTGCTTTACGAATAAACCCTGTGGAATATAATGCCGTTGTACCATCAATTTATACTCAACAGCCGTGCTCCATTGACTATAACTAAAAGCCTGCAAATCACTTCGATCTATCCACTGTGTGACCATTATCAACTAGATGCGACAAAACAGAGCATCTTACAGATTTAACCTGTCACGGGGGATAAGGTAAAAGCGTTCAAAGTGATTTCCCGAACCTTTCTGATCGAGTTCCGATTCGCCTCTTACATACAAACTTTGGCTATGAGGATTCGAACGAACGATCTTAACCCCCTGTATTCAGAAGAAATTTGAGCAGCTTTCATCCATGCCTAATGAATGATTTTATCTGTGAATTGTAAAATGTAATTCCCCCCCTTTTATTTCATATTTGTCGCTATATTCACCTTCGAACTTTATTCATCCTCCAGCATAACGAAACCTTATTGTCCTTTTCCAAGCTTTGACTTGCTTTATCTGTCTGTTTCAACACCTGTTTACATTATCGTGTCATTTTGAACATTCGTATTATCCTCGATACTACCACTAATTTTACTATTCTAAAGTGATGTAATCCATAACTCACGAATGACCTTGACACTTGATATTTTATAAATATATTGAGAACTGTGTTTTTTGAAGTGGAACCTGATGAGATCTAATTGAAAACAATAATGTTCGCTTACATCTCTTGTTAGAATTCTCAGCAAACTGTTTTTGATTGTACGCTTTTGTGATAAGAAGTTGGTTTTCAAAGAAAAAGGTATTCGCAAAATCCTATCATCTATCTATACTATATTCTCGTACAGTTCATACTCTATTAATAAGAAATTAAGGAGTTCCAAATGTATCATGTTTACTGCTAATATTCAAAAGCCTTAAAGGACATCGCTAAATGAGTAGAGCTACCCGTACGTCTCACCATAAGCTCAAACATGCCCACAAGCGTTCGACCGATAGCTGCTACCTTGACGTGGTGGTCGGGCTTGCATATCACAATGACCCAACGAGCTATGCTGGTGGAACGCTTGTTCCCTCGAGGTCCTACCATACCAGAAAGGTCTGTTGGGTAGTGGTTAGACGAAAAGCAGTTACCGTTATAGTGTAAATTGCTACACTATGATGGGGGTCTGAGGGCGAAGTCGTACTGCTGCTAGCTGGATGGGGTGTGACAGCAGTAAGGTGTTTCCCTTGGATGACCAGCAGTGCCAAGCTGATGCTGCCTTCTCAGTGGAAGGGGGGGTTAGAAAAGGTCGGCCCCAAAAATAACACACTCCACCACGCCCCACGGTCTGCCGGGCCGGCGGTGTTGGTTCACTTGTCGTTTCCTTTCGACCATCCGGCCCCAAAAATACAAAAATTCAAAATAATCATACTCAAAAGGCTGGGTGTGACAGGCCTCAAGCAGATGTCCGATGGGCTCTGCGGTCACACAAATCTCTTTCAGGTACCTTAAGAAGAAATAGCCTTCCACGGTGTGGGCAGCCGGGAAGTGTCAACCGCCCTCACAACTCTGTCAGCACCCAAGTTTCTTCTGACTGCTATCCTCCTCCTCCATCATTACCTTCTAATCTTCCTTCACGTCTCTTAATTAATGATGCTGCATCATCTTCAATTTCTCCTACCTCTGCAGCCTTCGACAACGATCTGAGTCCACAGAACAGCATCCCTGGTCTCCTTAAACCACGCTCCAAATTACATATTGGAGCCTTCAATGTCCGCACCCTCCGTCAAATTGGCCAACAGGCTTCGTTGGCAAAGACTCTAGCAACTCGGGCATGGATGTGTGCTGTGTTTGTGAGACACGCATACAGGACCCAAGTGTGGTTATTCACCTGACCTCTCCTGACCAATCTGGTGAATCCGCAAAATTCACCCTTCGAGTTTCTGGAGATTCGATAGCTAGCTCTCGTGGTCTTGCAGGTGTAGGTATAGCATTAAGCACCAGGGCAGAAAACTCACTACTAGACTGGATCCCAGTTGATAGTCGCCTCTGCGCTATGAGGCTGAACGGCACAGTGAGAACTAAAAGGAATAGTGAGACTCGCCGTTGTCTCTTTGTAATCTCTGCTTACGCACCCACTGACTGTAGTTCGGATGAAGTGAAGGACGAGTTCTACCATAAACTGTCTAACCTCCTCTCGAAAGCCAAACGTTCGGACGTAGTGGTTGTTGCAGGTGACCTCAACGCACAGGTGGGTAGACTGAGTGAGGCAGAAAGGCACTTAGGTGGCACTTTCGGAATCCCAGCTGAACGTACAGATAACGGTGATCGCCTATTACAACTATGCTCAGATAACCGCCTATTTTTAGCCAGCACAAATTTCAGACATAAAGAAAGGCACTGTCTGACCTGGCGTCCACCGAGCTCGACTCAGCGATGGACACAGATAGACCACATTGCTATTAGTC